GTGCGGTTGGCGCAGGATAGAGCAGGGTTTAGGGCTGTTATGAATAGGGTCGCTATGAGTCGGAAACGACTCGACGGCACATAACAACAACAACAACAACAACTGCTGTAGAAATTAGAATCAATCTCCTCCCATACAATTTCTTGGAGACCCAATGGAAGATCATCTACGGGTTGGTTCCAACTTGACAACAATGGTTAGAAACTCAGATAATGATCCTTTTCACACAGCTAACTTATTATTGGAGATAAGGCAAGTGAATTAGACAAAAACAAATTTAAAACAAATGAGTATTTTCATTTCAGACCATACTAAAGTATGCTAGAGTATGGTTAATGTGAGGGTCACATTAGATTGTAAACCTAAACAAATGTTCTTTACATATGTGACATATCAGACTTTTTAATGATGAGAAGGAGACAACCCTCAGAAAGCCTTGGACAAGAGGGTTCCAGGAAGATGCAGCTGAAAGTATGCAAGCCTTCAGGTTTAAACAGACTGTTTAAGAGATGGAAAGGCTAATGTGAGAGTGGTGGAGCAGGCCAGAATAACCAAAGGGTGAAGCAGTTCACAGAGGCAGACAAAAGCCAGGTCCACAACAGCTTTAAGGACGACAATAACACATTTGTTGACAAGGTTTTTCAGTATCTAAAATAGCTTATCACTTGACCCCAAAATATCTGTAACTAATGACCATAAGATATAGTTGGTGTTGTTTTTGCGTGCCTTTGAGTTGAGCACGACTCATGGTGACTCTATGAACAAAAGGCTTGAAGGCCCTATATGACTATCGACATTAATCAAAGTTCATAGGGTTTCCAGAGGCATTAGGAAGTGGACGTCATTTCTCTTTATTTTTTTATCCAAAATCCTTATTGTTGTTCTTAAGTGCCATCAACTCGAGCATGACTCATAGCGACCCTATGAACAAAAGAACTGAACCCTGCCCTATCCTGTGTCATCTTTGCATTTACCTATGCAGTAGAGCCCACAGCAGCAGTCACCATGTCAATCTACCTGGTTGAGAATCTTCCTCTCTTTCGCTGATCCTCCTTTGTTTTAAGCATCATGTCCCTCTCCAAGGAATAGTCCCTGCCATATTTCACCTTTAAATTAAGTCTATCTAAAGAATTAAGGCAATACTTATTTAGGAGAGAGAGAACTGCAGAAAATAACTTAGCAATAACACTGGAAATTATTATAGATTTTTCTCCTAGTTTCTGGTTTGTTTCTTCACAGTAAAGAGCATAGCACAGCTAAGCTATAACAGGGAAGTAATGGAGAACATGTAGGAAATGAAATCTACTTCAACAAGAAATTATAACATTATTAGTGTGAACTTATTTCCACAGAATTTTGGTTCTAACTTGTCATTTATTAGAAGAATACAATAGAAACGGCTTTTTTCCCCTGCAGAAAATTGGGTTTTACAGTAAATATCAGTTTCCTTGGCACAGAAAGAGATCACCTTCGCAGTGACTCCACATGAAGTCTCAGAGGTAAGCAGGGACACAAGCCCTGCTAAGGTGATGGGTATTAACTGTTCTATCAGAGATTCACTGTGTATGGTTGATAATCAGGTAGATGATACAAGGCCTAGACTGCTCTACCCATCGGTGTTCATTTATAAGTGCACTCCACCTTCACCATTCATTGACAGCATTCCTTACATCACTCGTTTTTTTTTAATTAGTGCTTCAACCTTTTCATTATTTTTAACTGGGATCTAAGTATATGTATTTATTTTTACTGGTTTTGGTGTATTGGTCTATTTTCTTTAAATATAGGCAATATTAACTGCTAATATTCTAGTTTTGTGTGTGTGTGTGTGTGTGTTTTTTAAAAGAAAAGGTTCCAGGTTTATAGCAAATGGAAATCATATTGCAGTCAAATAAAATTTCTGGTGTTTTCTGTTAAAGATATTTTATATCTTTATATATATGTATTGGTAAATTGGTAATCAGGGCATTACTTTTTTACTAGAATGAACATCTGTTTCAGCTTTTTGTGTTCTCTTCAATAAAATCAAGATTCAAATAAGCCCTACAAAATCTCTGTAATGCCTTCCACTCATTGTAAGAAAGTGCATAAAATCAAAATGAAATTAATTTTATCTTAGCTTCACTACAAAAATGACTAATTTACATATGAATTTCTAAACATGCCAAGACAGAAAATATCAATCATTTGAGAACAAAGAACCTATAGCTGAGTTAGTGGAAGACTTCCTAAGTGTCTGTGTGATGGGGAAAAAGGGAATAGCAAATTGATTTCAGCAAAAGCAAATTTTGACACGTACACAAAACTCAGCTGCATCTTTCAGCAATGCAATAAATCAACACTATCACTGCACTTACCATATGTACACACCAATAATCACAGGGAACAAAGCAAGGCTGACAAGGAATAGCTACTGGACAAGGTCCCCAAAGAGCCTTCAGAGTGGCAGAGCCACCTCACTCCTTAACTCAACTGAATAAGTTACATATTTCATCTCATCAGTATGCTTATATTTGAGTTTTGTCATCTAGGGGGAAATTACATATCTATTATAAAGAGATACACAGTGTTTTGTATACAATTAAAACTTAATTGAAAGAATAATATGTTAGCTTCTAATCTGAGTATCAGAAATCATTCTGCATTCTCAGTTGTTTGCACATTATACTTACACCTGATCCTTTTCTCATACCTGGTGACATATCTCATGAACAATGACCATGGTGACATCCAGTAAATAAGAAATAGATGAAACACTGGGATCCAGTAGTATTCTTTGTTCCACAAAAATACTGAGTCCCCAGTTCTCCATAGCAGCATACGGATGCTTAGGCACAGCTAAAAGATCTAGAAACAGAATAAAACAGTTCCAAAGACTTTAATAAGGAGGCCAGGTTCTAAACACATATCCTGTAATAAATCCAGAAATCCTAATTAGGAAGACTAGTTGCTATATCTCGTTAACAGTCACACCCTAAATTAAACTTCCCACCATTTCCTCAATGATAGAAGTATAGGCTCTCACCTTAAATGCTTGTTATATGCATCTCATCAGAGTTCAGAGTCATACAGCACTGCATTTTCAGGGTCAGTACTATAGGTGGCTGAAAGTACTGGCACTGTTACTGGTGAGCCCACTCTAGTTAGCTTCAGAAAGGCAAGGGAGCCAAAATAAAACAGAAATCTACAGAGTCAAAGGCAGTGGGCCTTTATTATTTAACAAAAAATAATTTCAGCTCAGTGCAGAGAGCACTGCTTTCTACCTTTACTTTCACTTCACTATTTTAAAAGTAAACATTCCATAGCAGTTCTCAAATGTAATCACTTTTTTCAATTTGCTCAAATTCTAATTTATTGCTTGGGTTCTATGACAAAACAAATATTACATATAAATAAAATTGGTAGAGAAAAAAACTTTACAGGGGATATTTGGGCAAAACCACAATTTAGTTAATGACAAACTTTGGTTCTGATGCTACATTCAAATTTATATATGGGACATTATAAAAAAATCAATTTCTCAAGATGAGACTGACCTCAACTATTGATTGACCTTAATTATCTCTAAAATTCTCTATAGCCCACAAATTTGTGATGAGATGATGATAGGATTTCTGCTTACTTTAAAAGGTTATTTGTTTTTGTTGGGTGCCATCAAGTTGAGTCCAACTCAAAGCAACCCTATGAACAACAGTTCAGAATCCTGTCCGACCAATCCTGTGCCATTTTCACACTTCTGACCCACTAGAGCCCACTGCGGCTCACTGTGTCAATCCACCTGGTCAAAGGTCTTTCTCTCCTTCGCCGACCCCTTGGTCACATCATGTCCTTGGAGAAGGGAATGTGTCATAGAGGTATTAATAATTTTTGGTTAAGATTATACAAGGTCATACTTTGATGTAGTCTCACAGCTCCAAATACACAGAGATGATAAATAAAACATCATAAGAGAAAAGTTAAAAACAAATCCAAAAAAACACCATCAGGCTCAAAAATAAACCTCTCTGTGGACCGGAAATGGTACAGAAATGCAAAGCCATGATAGCATGTGAAGCCACAGGCTTGCTGGGTCTGGCTACAGGATCAGGCAGTGGTAGCTAAAAACTGGCTCCAACAGGCTCCAGCAGAGCCAAGGAAACCAAAGCCAAGCTGACAGCTTGATGCCAGTGGTGTGGTGGGCTGCTCATATTCATAACAAGAGACTGGAAAGAGCTGTGCCCATTTCTTCCTGGGAAAACTAGAGTGACAGAGGTGAGGATGAACACAGACAGGCTGGCTCAGTGCATGAGCTTTTAGAGACAATGCCATGGTGTTCTTAGCCATTGCCTCCAAAGCCCCATTTCATGAGATAAACTCTAGTTTAACTCCCTAGAACAAGAAAAATTTCTATAAGAAAGTTCACTGCAGTATTCTTCATAAACATTAAAATGAATGCCTTTGAACAGGATAATGGGCAAAGGTACTGGGAAATAGTCACATTCAGGAAGATTATGCAGCAATTGAAATACAGAGCAGGGAAACACTGCATGATTCAAAATCAGGAGAGGAGTACATCACAGATGGATCCTGTCTCCATGTCTTTTCATCTATATGAAGTATAGATCATTCAGGAAGCAGGTGTTTTGTTTTGTTTTTTTTTTAGGAAGCAGGGCTTTAAGAGGAGGAATGTGCCATCAGGATTGGTGATGGATTCATTAACAACCTATGTTATGCAGATGGCACAACCTTGCTTGTTCAAACTAACGAAGACCTGAAACACTTGCTGCAGAAGGTCAAGGACTGTAGTTTTCAGTATGGATTAAAGCTTAACATCAACAAGGCAAAGATTTTCACGACTGGGCCAATTGGAAGCACCATGATAGGAGAAGAGACTGAGGTTCCAGAATCAACACTCTTAACACCAGCAATCAGGAAATCGAAAGACAAATTGCACTGAGTAAATCTTTGTCAGGGACCTCTCCAGAGTGCTGAAAAGCAACAATGACAGTCTAGAAACTAAGGTGCACCTTATTCAGGCCATGGTCTTTGCAATTACTTGTTATGCTTCAGAGAGCTGAACAATGACTAAGGATGACAGAAGAAGAATCGATGCCTTAAAATTGTATTGGAGTACTGAACAAACCATAGACTTCCAAGAAAACAAACTGGTCTGTCTTGGAGAAGGTGAAACCAAGTTTCTCCTTGGAGACTAGGTATTTGAAGCTCTGTCTCACAGACTCTGGGCACGTGGCCAGGAGAGACCAGTCCTTGGAGAAGGACATCGTGCTTGGAAGGGGGGAGGGACAGCAAAGGAGAGGAAGATCCCGAATGAGATGTACTGATACTGTAACTGGGGCACCAGGGTTGGTGTGTTGGCATCAGCGAGACTGGCTCAGGACAGGGCAGGGTTCAGGGCTGCTGTACATAGGGTCGTGATGGGTCGCACGTGACTTGACAGCACATAACAACAAGAACAACAACAACTGGATTCTAGCACTATACAAATCAATATCCACGATTTGAAAAATACATGGAAAAAATATCTGATCTTGTTAATTGTTACTTCAGTTGCAGTTCATGATAGCTGCTAGTACAATAGAACAATACAGTGCCAGACTCAATGTCACCTTTATAACTACTATGTTCAGGTCCACTGTGATCACGAACCACTGAGTAACGTTCAACCTAAGGAGCTTCTCATCTAACACTACATCAAGCAATATTATTTTGTGACGTACATTGCCAGTTTGTCTTAGACTGGCAGCTCCATTTTAACCCGCCATCCTGGGCTATTCTGCCAGTATCTGAAATACCAGGAGCATAGTTTCAGCATCATATAACAAACAAGTTACCTAATTACAACAAACTTTCAGGTTGTAGAAAAGAAATTTAGGAAGTAAAACTGCTACAAAGAAAATTATAACACAGTAAGACAATGATACTTTCTGTCTCCAAAATTATTCAGGATTGGAGAAAGACTCATCAACAACTGATAGTATACAGGTGACATAACTCGGCTTGCTAAAACTGAGGGGGACATGAGGAATTTGCTGTAGAAGGTGGAGGACTGCAGTCTTCAATACAGATTGAAGCTCAACATCAAGAAAACCAAGATTCTCACCACTGGACCTATTTGTACCTTCACAATAGATGGAGAAGAGATATTGTGAACAACTTCAGCTTGCTTGGTTCCACAATTAATTAACACTTGGCACCAGCTGTCAGAAAATCAAAAGACTAATTGCATTGGTAAAGTCTCCTGTCAGGACCTTTCTAGAGTACTGAAAAGCAACGCTGTCAGTCTAGAGACTAATGTGTGTCTAACCCAGGCCATGGTCTTTGCAATTACTTGCTATACATCAGAGAGCTGGACAATAATAAAGGACAAAAGAAGAAGAATTGAGCTGTGGTGTTAGAGAAGAGTGTTGAACATCCCATGAACAAGGAGGACAAACAAGTCTGTCCTGGAGAAGGTGAAACCAAGGTGCTCCCTGGATGCAAGGGTCTCACATACTTTGAGTATGTGCCCAGGAGGAAACAGCACTTATAGAAGGACATCAATTTTGGAAGGGTGGAGGAACAGCACAGGATAGGAAGACCCTGGATGAGATGGATTGACTCAATCAATGGAGAAAGGGGATAGGTCTGTTGGAGCCGATGAGGTTGGCTCAGGATAGGACTGGATTCAGAACTATTGAACATAGGATTGCTATGAGTTACAGGCAACACAAGAGCACATAACAACAAGAAGACAAGGATTGTCTGGTGGGATGGCTATAATGTGGTAAAAACCTATAATGTGATCTTTCTAAGGAAATCACATCTCACTTTAAGTTTTAATCATAGGTTGTTGTTAAGTCCATCTAATCCCCTGCAACTCATAGCAACTCTATGTACAATATCCCTAGACTCTTCTCTGTCCTGTGCCATTTCACTGTCTCCAACACACCCACCCCCATTACCCCAGTCACTGAATCAATCCACCTCATAGAGGGTTTTCCTCTCCTGTGCTGTCCCTCTCCAAGGACTGGTCCCTCCTCACAACATGCCCAAAGTATGTCAGACGAAGCTTCAGAATCCTTGCCTCTAAGGAGCAGCCTGGTTTCACCCTCTCGAGGCTGAACCTGTTTGTTTTCTTAGCAGTTCATGGTATATTCAGTTCTATTCTCCAGCACCACAGCTCAAAGGCATCAATTCTCCTATCATCATTAGTCATTGTCCAGCTCTCTGTTGTATAGCAAGTAATGATAAAGACCATGGCCTGTATCAGGCACACCTTACTCTCCAGAATGACACCATTGCTCTTCAGTACTCTGAAGAGGTCCCTAACAGCAGACTTTCCCATCGTGATGCCTCTTTTAATTTCTTGGCTACTGGTGCCAAGAGTGTTGACTGTGGAGCCAAGTAAACTAAAGCTGTCAACAATCTCAATCTCTTCACCATCCATCCTGATGCTGCCAATTGGCCCACTGGTGAGAATCTCTGTCTTCTTGTTATTGAGCCTCAATGCATACTGAAGGCTGTAGTCCTTGATGCTCTGCAGCAAGCTAAAAGTCTCCTATTTGGAGATCTGTAGAATGGTGCTCTAGGATGAGTAAAAGGCAAGTGTTTGAGCCCTGAGGCAGAAATTAATTTTGACAAACAGGAAGCAGGTATAGTGGCTAAGTATATGTTGTTGTTTTTGTTGTTGTTAAATGTCATCGAGTCATAGGCAATTCATAGCGACCCTATAAATGAAAGACCTGAGTACTTGTATAACTTTCTTTGTTTCTCCAAGTTCATAGGGTTTCCAGAGGTAAGATATTTAGGAAGTGGATGCCACTCCTGCTTCCAAGGTTTTTTTTAAATCAGGGAGCTCCACCAAACAC